TCCGCCACCTGTTAATCCCACATATCTCTTCTAATTAGAAGTGAGGCTACGCTGGGGTCTCACTTCTAATTAGAAGAGATGACTGAAAAATAGCTATGCTGCAATAATTCTCAAATATCTTGCTGCAGCATAGGCTCTAAGTCTCTCTCACGCTACCAAGTCCTATCCTCTGCTGCTATAGCTGCTATAATTCTGCTGGTATCTGGGTCTAAGTCCAAGTATGACAAAATCGCGCATTTGTCACGTTTGTCACACTATGTGACATGAGTAGCATTCACCCCTAAAATGGAATTTTCTGGGTAAGTAGCTAAAGACTGACTGGTAGTCACATATGTCACAGAAATGAACCTGTTGTAGTATGCAGTGAGAGGTATGAGAAGTAGCCAAAAAAGGAAATATTTGCCCTGTGACAATACAATCATCAGAGAATATCACAGATCGTGACAATTCAAAGTTGTATAATCTGACTATATAAACAACTTCCATGAAGTAACCTATAGTAACACCTCAATGTTTGTGTCAATCCTGGTCAATTACTAGCTGATGTACAACTAATAAGATGATATTATAATAACTAGAATAGCTATAGAGTCGATTTAAGCAGTACTGAGAATGCCTGAATAGTAATACCAGTATTGTTGCCCATACAATACTGCTACTATAGCTATGCTACTTAATGATCATCCATCAGCCATATTGATCTAGCCAGATCTCCACCAGTCCTTGATGAATTCAAATGATTGTTTTACTGACAGGTATGCAGTTACCTAGCCTTGATATGCTCTGATGTGAGCATAGTCCTATAGCTTAGGCTTGTGCTACCATATCACTTTTCCATTGTTTTTCTATTTCAAATTGGATCAGGCACAATGATGACTTGATATCTCGCTAGGGAATTCATGGATGATCATGATCTAAGTTGTATTCTAGGCAGATGGAGCTCTGTTATGGCCCTGTAAGACACACATATTTTTAGACACCCTACATACCTGTGCATATGGCATATATCCTGTTGTTGTAATCTCCCAATAACTCACTCAGAGATAAGGGATCCCCAATGACATAAAGGTAGGAAGCATACAGAGGGGTCCCCCTGGAGGATGTCATGCCTCTCATTATGCTTTATCCATGGAATCTCTTGCTATTTGCTATTATACATATTACTCCTATGACGCAAGATATTGACAATACAGCCATGATCTGCTGGTTGATTATGGATCAAAATGTGTTAAGTTCAGTTAATGAGGTATATATAGATACCCACATACTCTGATTGGTCTCTATATAGCCTTAGAGAATTAATTGAGGTGAACATTCCAAGACAGGTTGCATGTAGAACTGGTTTACATGAATAATGGGGTCTATAGACTAAGTACTGGACATTGAGATGCATGTATGGGGGTGTTTGGATGTGTACTATGACCCTATACTGTAATTAGTTGTGGTTCTGGTATGTGTCATCAGAGGTAGCTGAAGACAGGGTAGGTACCCATACAGCAAAAGAGAGTGTCTTTGCTATTACAACTGGTCAGAAAATAATTTCAAGTATGACACAATACCTAGACTTAGGATTGTAGATACCTTCAAATGAACCTGTTCAGCACTTGAATCAACCTTATAGCTATCCTGGATCTCTCATAGTACCATTATCAGTGTTATCTATCCCAAAAATGATAGGTCTACCATGACATAGCCTTTGTGAGTCTGAGAAATCTGAGCATACCTACTGGTAGGGGTTTAATCCACCTCCCAAAAAGTGGTGCCCCTGGCTCTCTAGCATATCTCCATCCTGGGTTATATAGCACCAAGTATCTCCAGGAATGGACTGACCATAACACTTGCTGTGTGATCACCAATCGGTAGGACTATAGGAGACCATCCTGTAGACCTATATCAACTTGGATCACAAGATTCCATGCAGTAGGTCCCAAGATATCAGCAAAATTCTCCTTAACTCAGTATTCAATCATGCTTAGCAGTCAATATGTTGATCTCATAGTACCAGATGACACTGTGGTCGGCGGTGTGGATGATTTTCATCTTAAAAAGTCATCCCCATTTCAATTGAAAATCATTGTACTTCCCAATGAGATTGACCGAGTTTTTGTGAAAATCATAGACTAGAATTTCATACATTTAGTGCAGCATATCATCCCCCACTTTCATCACTATTTCACATGAATCTTCGCATAATTTGTTGGTAATACTCATGACCTGCAGACACACAATTCATCGAAATTGTACAGTAAAATTCATGCATTTCTATGGTGATTATATATTTATTCAATGCGGCGACGCTTGCTTGCCCCACCCCGTTCCATTGGATCCACCTCCTTTCCCTTTCGCTTGGCCGAAACCGTATCCTCGGTGTCAGAGAACTGGAGCAGGTCGTCATCGTCGTGATGGTCATCGTCGTCATGGTCATCGTCAATCGCAGGTCGGGAAGGGCCTGGGCTGGGCGAGTTGTGTGAGGATGGTGGTGGGGAGGGTGAGGACATGGACATTGCAGTTCGTCGTTTGGCTGCCTCACGACCACGGTAGGTGTCTTCGTTGCCGACACAGTTACGATAACTCTTGATATTGTCCCAGCATTCCTTCGCGATGCGATATGTAGCCCAATGACGAGCACCGCGCTTAAAGACAGGAAAATCTTCTTCAAGCTGACAACGGTTAATGATGCAATAAGGGACTTCAGGGTTATAACACACCGCACGGATAGCTCTTCCGATCTTCTCATGGTCCTGGGATTTCCAAGGCTGCTTGAAGTCCAGGCGGGCGCTGATGAGCTTGTCGCGCATAGATAGCTGAAGGCACTTACACGGGCTCCATTCCACTCGAGCTTCCCTGTGATGCCCATGAGACGTCGAACTTCTGCAATCTTCATTTTGGAAGGGTTTCGAGGCCGAGGGACAGTGTCAGTGGTCGCTGCTTCGGATATGGCCGTGGTGTTGGTTGCATCTCGGAGGTGTTCTTCAGTCTCCCGAATATGGATGTCTCGTTCCGCCAGCCGCTCGTCTTGGCGCTTGACGAGTGCTGACCATTGTAAGTGGAGGTGTAAACGGGAGTTGAATGACATACCTTCGAGCTCTTCGATACGCGCAAGCTGATTGTTGCTTTCAGCCTGTGTCTTTTTCGATGGACGAGCTTGGGAGTTCTTGCTGCCATGGGAGGAGCGCTGGTTCTCCTTGTTCTTGTGTCCCGCCTTCTTTTTAGGATTATCGGAGGGCATGTTAGTTCAGTTGGAGGCTGAAAAACGTGTAGTAACGCACCTTTATACCGCCCACAACAGGTAAGCGAGAGTGGAGCGAGTGGGGCACTTGCGTCATATGTTATCCAGCAAAGCAGTGAGTTCTGACTGCTGCTTGTCGACCCAAAGGCCTATCCCGCATGCATAAAAACTCGTCTTGAGGCCTGGGAGGGGTTGAATGGCGTCGAAGAAGCTTGGAGATGGAGGGAGAAGGCAGGAAGAGCGATGAGTCAGCGGGGCTGTGCTGGTTCTCATGGGCCCCACTGCTATCGCGTGACGCCATGACCGCGATTTCGCGCGGACGCAAAGTCCCCTGCACACTCACTACCATGGCCCACAAAGTATACTGTCCTTGCTGCGGCAACTATGTTGACTCTGGAACGAAATCCCGACACATGGCTGGTGGTGGACACATTCATACCAAGATACTCGCCGCCGAACGCCTTACACGACGGATGCTCAACAAATTTCGCCTGCGGAAGCGCCCGCCGGACTCAGGAGACGATGGAGATGAACCTGCAACAAAGTTACCGCGTCTGGGTGCGTCTAACACCTTTTTATTTCCATTCGTCATCTAACTTGAAGACAGATAACATCAACTTGGATGGTGTCGGCGACGACATTACAATGCCCGACTCTCAACTGCATGCTGCAGCTTGGAGGCTCCCCCAGATGCCTCACATTCCCCCGGGACACTTCCTGCTGACCGCCGCCCCCCGCGTTTTCGATGCCGACAGCATTTCATCGAAAGACAGCAATTCGGATGACGATGAGAAGCTTGTCATGGCAAATGAGGCCGATGATGAAGAGGCGGATTTAGACTGCTCAAAGCTAGACCATGTCTCATTGACTGCTGGGGAGCTCCTCGAGCGGGAATTTGTGTCTGAAGATTGGCATCGTGGTGAGTACAGCATGTTCGTTGCGCAACTTCAACTGATTTTTGAAGCGGAACGGCTCACTAATGAAGAGTTACAGTCCGTCCGGGCCCATAACTTCAAAGTCAATGTGGACCTAGGCTCTCGCGCATATGAAAAGAAGAAGAAGGCGTTTCCCCAGCTCGCTGACCTCCCTTCTCTGCGACAACTCTATTCAGAAATCACGAATATTTCAGGTGTTAAGCCTGTAAAGTACCACTGCTGCAAAAAATCGTGTTGCTGTTTTGTGGGCTCTTACGAAGCCCTTGACGCCTGTCCGTACTGTAAAGAGGCACGATACGACAGCCACGGCCGTCCTCGGGCTACCTTCGATTATCTCCCGCTCATTCCACGTCTTCAAGCGCTCTTTGCCGACAAGAGCATGTGCCAAAAACTTGGATACCGCGCAAACTACAAGTCCGAAGGTGATTTCATCCGGGATATTTTCGACTCCCTCCACTATCGCCGCCTCAAACAACGTCATGTTTGTGTGGAAGATATCATTTATGACCACCGTTTCTTTGACCAGCCCACCGATATTGCGATGGGATTGAGTGCGGATGGTGTCTGTCCATTCAAGAACCGTAAGGAGACATGTTGGCCACTCATCGGGGTGATCTATAACCTCCCTCCTGACACGCGCTTCCTCATGGATGAAGTTCTGTGTTTTGGTGTCATCCCAGGACCCAGAGCTCCAAAGGACATTGATTCCTTCCTCCTCCCGCTGCGGAACGAATTTTGGCAGCTCATGCGTGGTGTCGCCACTTACAGCGCGGAAAAAGATGACGAATTCTTACTCCGCGCTTACCTCATACGGCGTCTTCGGCGACATGCCCGCTATGGCGAAGCTCATGCGGATGAAGGGCCCCAATGGACTTCGCCCGTGCCGCACCTGCAAGATCCTTGGTATTTCCGGCGAAAATAACACGCACTATGTCCCCTGCTTTCGCCACGATGGCGAGTTCTACGATCCATTGGATCTCCCGCTCCGAACTCATGATGAGTTTATTGATGATGCAGTCTCGGTCGAGAAAGCGACAACAAATGCTGAGGCAGAGCGTCGGGCGAAGGACACCGGCATCAACGGGCTCCCCGTTCTCGCTACCCTGTCAAGCCTTGAGTTTCCAGCATCGTTTGGTCACGACCTCATGCATTTGATTCCCGAGAACGTCGTCAAGAACTTGCTCTAACTCTGGCTGGCAACTTACAAGAAGCTCGATGTTGGGACGGGGGACTATATTCTTCAGCCAAAGGTGGTTGAGGACATTGGTCGCAACTGTGTTGCTGCTGGGGATACAACACCGACCGCCTTTGGCGCACGTGTTCCGAATATTGCGACACAATTGCATTACTTTACCGCCGAATCTTATACCCTCTGGACAACACTATTGGCGCCAGTCGTTCTTCGCGGCCGTTTCCCCCACAAACGGTACTACGATCATTTTCTGGGCCTCGTAGATATCTTTAACGACTGCCTCTCCATGTCACTGTCGCGCGAGTATGTTGACAATGATTTACGAGCTCGGATTGGAAAATGGGTGACGGACTACGAACGGTTGGTTTTTTTTTTTGTGCTTTTTATTGTCATTTCTAAATGATATCTAGGTACTATTACCAATACGACGAGTCCCGTCTCTCTGCATGTCCATTGACAATACATGCCTTGCTCCACATTCCGGATGACATTCTAAATGGTGGGCCGATGTGGACATATTGGAATTATATCACAGAGAGGTTTGTGGGGCATCTTGTGCGCTCGAGCAAGAGTCGCCGGAACCCATATGCCAGCTTTTCTCGACGCCTCCGCGAAATCGCCCAGAACACCGCAATCAAAGTCAAATATCAGCTTTACACTGAGCTTGACTTGTCACCATGGCACGAGGAAGAGCTCTCGGGCCATGTGGTGGCTGGATGTGCGTGAATTTAGCCCTGCGTGTCCAGTCTAATACGTTCCAGATAATGGCATCCGTGTTTTACGGCCGCGGGCTACTGGTCCCCTCTCAAATCGGCTGACCACAGCTGTCAGTGAGCATATTCAAAACAGATATCGTGTATCGCCCCGCGGTTGCGTTGCAGTCCCTCCCTGATGATTTTACCCACTGGGGACGAATATCGTTCCTTGCGTCGGGGGTGACAAGATGTGTGGTGCGGATTTGGTCCACCATTCCGAGGGCTACATGACTCGGGATGCGTCATTTGTTAAGGCAAGTCATTTTCTGTACTGGACTCTTGGACTTATTCCTTTTAGTACTCGCGACGATGTTGATACAAATGCTCATCATTCGCGCCAAGCACGAGTTGATGAGCGACAGGTGGCCTATGGACAACTCCTCCGCCTTCTCGAATTCACCATCGCTCTTCCACCTGAGTGTGACACGGCCTCCTGTCCGCTCCTTCTCGCCGCCATTCGCCCAGTGAAAGAGCCCAAGAAAAGCCCATACCCGTTTCCAGTCTATCAGGACGGCCAATTCCGGCCAATCGAGGTTATTGACGTTGACGATTTAAGCTGCTTGGTTGCACGTGTACCAGCAAATCGCCGTGGCCCACTTGTCTACGCACTGTATGAGCACCCAGACTCAATGGGATCTGCTGTAGAAGCTGAATAAAACCATTTACATGCATTGCGATTGTATTTGAACTTGAGCATTGAGAATATATATGTATTTGAGGAGCATAACTACATCTACAGGATTGGGTAGTGTCCGAGACGACGAGTTACGCCACGAGAACCACGCTGCCGACGAATGGGTGTAGGTAGCACATATAGTGTGGGGTCACGAGCCTTCATTTCCTGAAAGGTTCGGTTGAGGGATGGTGCAAGAATGGGGTCAGTCTGGATGGTGTAGGTGCTGGAAGTTGAGTACGGAGGAGAGGGAGGGGAAGGGAATTGCAGTTGTTGTGAGGCTACCCAGACTTAGTGGTGAATTTGCACAAAAAGGATGATACACGCACGAGGATGATCTTTCAAGAACTTCAGCTCTGTTTCTAAGCCAACCCGACTCTCTAACGTGGTGATACACTTCCGGGATTGTTCAATTTCATCTTTCTGGTCTCGAATAAAGTTTTCGATGGCGGTAAATGGTGTCCGACTCGGTTGTTGCGAGGACTGTGAGGCCTCTTGCAATCGATGGTTGTGATTCTCCTCTCTGGCCCGCTGTCGCTCCCTCTCTGGCTCTGAGTCGGAGACATGGGTAGTTGTGGATGAGGAGTGTCGGATTGTTCGTGGTCGTTTCATGGAAGAAGTGTGTGGAGCTGACGATATGATGTCATTTGACATAACACCCACTTATTTACCCCATAAGTTTTCATATAGAAATACCATGAATTTTCGGGATGCCAGACCCCACATTTCGAGTACATGAAATAGGTATATGAAATGGTAGGTGCATGAATATATTTTCATAGTTTTATAGGATGAAATGGGAAATTCATGCAGTGGGAGTATGAAACTCATCCTGTTTGCGACTCACAGTGTGAGATGACAAGATATACAAGATGATGGTAGGATAGTATACCTTTCAAATGAGCACCTTCCCAGCTTTATCTGCCCAAACCAGCAAGAGATCCATAGATATCTTTAGGAGTTGATGGAGATCAAATACCCACCTCAGGCTACCCCTACCTGGTAGCTCTTAGGCTTAATCGAACCCACGGAACCCTGGGCCTAAGAGGTACCAAATCCATGGTATCACCCATGGGGGTGGTACTATCCACAAATTGTGGATGGTACCATGGGTGTCACACAACCCATGACCATGGTTCCATCCATACAGCCTTGGGTGCATCCATGGCTGTGTGGATGGTACCATGGTGCTTTGCCTGATTTGGATGGTGGGGCGAATGCCTTGTAGCTCGCTCAAATCTGGCTCAAAAAATAAGCGCTTTGGTGAGGATATTGGTGAGGTTGTCTAGTTTCGCCTCAAGTGCGTCCATGCGCGCGTCAGCGTCCGGAGCAGCTCCGGTGGACATAACGGGCATAAAGACAAGAGCAGAGGAGGAGGGGTCAAGTGGCAGGGGCGGTGACGAGGGGGGGTACAGACTCGTACTCCGAGCCTGAATCAGCGCCAAACCTGGCAATCTTGATCGGTTAATCCCGTAGAGAGCTTCTTCTGCTGTAAGGGCAACCCTGGAGACTCCAACGAAAGCCTAGCAGGGGAGGATCCAAAGCGTGAATAAGACTACAGGAAATACACAGAGGGACCGACCTAGCAGGGGAGGATCCAAAGAGAAGAAACTCTAAGGGTCCACCTGCTAGGGCGCCAACTATATACTGGTCGTCCGTAACTGCCGACGTAGAGCGCAAAAGGCCTGAGCGGCGTCGCAGGCTCTGTCCCAAGGTGATCGTTGGGAGGGTCTTGACGGATCGGTGATTGTGCGGGCGAAGGAGGCCATGGACGGTGGTCGGGGTGGGCCGGAGCGTCCGAGGGGGCGCCGGTCGGATGCGCCTCGGATGCGTTCGGAGGGTCCGAAGGAGGCCAAAGTGGGGGTTCCCCTGACACCAAGGACAAAGACCTATGGAGACGCATCATCGAGCTGTGCCACAACACTCAAGTCACCAGCCACGCTGATCGCTTCAAGACCTTGGAGTTGGTCTCCCAGAACTACTGGTGGCCTTAGATGTCTCGCCACATCAGTCGGTATGTCGCGACCTGTGACCTATGCTGTTGCACCAAGGCACTCCAAAGACTGCCCCCTGGAGAGCTGCACCCGACGGAGACGCCCCTGGAGCGCTGGCATACCGTCTCCGTTGACTTCATCGTCGAGCTCCCTGAGGCCCACGGGTATGATGCAATCATGGTCGTTGTGGACACCCTCAGAAAGCGAGTGCACTTCTTGGAGTGTCACACCACGGTCGACGTGGTAGGAGCCGCCCACCTCTACTACCAGAATGTCTGGCGCCATCACGGGACTCCAGAAAAGTACGTCTCCGACCGCGGCTCGCAGCTCATCGTGGACTTCACCTGAGAACTCTGGCGTCTAATCGGCATCAAGACTGCCACGTCCACTGCGTATCACCCACAAACGGACGGCCAGATGGAGCGTGTGAACCAGGAGTTGGAGCAGTACCTGCGGATCTTCACCAACTATCAGCAGGACGACTGGGGACGAGCTGATTCCGGCCGCGGAGTTCGCCTACAACAACCACATTCACTCCTCCATGCAACAAGTCCCCTTCATGACGGACACAGGACGACTCCCGCACATGGGCTTCAAACCCGGAGTCCATTCCACCATGGAGTCGGTGAACAAGTTCCGCGACCAAATCGCCACTGGGGTTGCCAAAGCCAAGGCTTAGTGAGCGCGGGGAGGAGTGTCAGGGGATGAGGGTCCAGGTGCATAGTTGATACCAAAGCCGGGGGAACAGCCCCACAGCCAACTACTTAAGTACAGGGCTATCTGCGTACGGACCAGTCACGTGATCAGTCACAGCTGTCACATCACATGCTCCCCTTACATACAAGTGCTACTACGATCAGAGACGCACTCCGTCTCCGGAGTTCAAGGTTGGCGACCGTTACCTACACCTGCAGTTTATATGGGTTTTGAGCTTGTGTTCCTAGCCAAATCGGGATGGACAACTTGATTGGCTCTTCCTTTTTTGGTAAGCACAGCCCCGATTTTACCAAATCCGGTGTGATTACGCAATGGTTCTTACATCATGACATAGTCACAGCTCTCACTTCTTCATCAACGACCACGACGGTTGCCGATTTAACCTATCGTTCGAGTCCCGCACACAGATAAACGGCCATTGTGAACAGGGTAATACTCGATGGATGCCTTAATCTGGCTTCCGCCGTGTTCTCCCGAGTCCCGAAATGAAGCCGGCCGGGACTGACGCGTCTCCTCGGCGGCTGCCATACGTCCACAGTCAACAACAGTCGCCTCGCAAACGCACCGTCTTCACGTTGCTTCTGACCTCGATGGTCCCGACTTCGCTCCTCCTGCTGAAGGCCAAGATGCAGCTTGCGTACCTGAAGACGAAGCTTGTCTGGTATCAAGGCTACCACGACCCGAGCTTCCCGATGCGGGAGCGGGTCATGAGTGTCGGGTACGTATGCCCCTTTAACTCTACCCTTACATGGCCTTGGACTGAACTGTGCGCAGACTTTGGACGGGGATTGCGGGCGGGGGCGGGTTCGCGCTGGGTGCCCTGTCTGCGGCGATTCCACGCGCTGTCGAAGCTGCCATCCACGCAAAACGGGTGTGTTATCCTTTTTTTCGTATCTCTCAGATTCTCTCTATGCCTTTCTCACTATTGATAGAAAACGGCGTATATGCCGCCCCTGCGCCTCTTCCGCCTGGGTGTCCTCAGTCACGCCATAGCGCTCGGCTCCGGGACCGCTGCTGTCCCATCGACTGGACTCCTAATCCAGCTGCTTGGCATACCATCGGGCGACGCGCCGCAACCCAAGCTTCTCGGATGGTCCGTTAACTCGGCACTCACAGTCCTTCTCAGCGCTCTCTGGGCCCTTCCTGTCCGAGTGCGCATCGACAGGGCATTTGCAGCACGTGGCGTGCGCATGGATAAGGCAGCCGATAACGTTAGCACGGCGCTCGCTGTTGGGATCATAGGGCTGGCCTGGACGTCACACAAGGATGAAAATCCAGGCCAGGAGAGTGCTGAGAAAAGTTCGATGGAATCTCGTCCGAAATAGCCAGGCCGCTAGTCGTCAGAGATGTAGTACTGCTGTTACTTACCAAATCGCAAGTTTCCCCACTCATCAGTAGTAGCCGGCCGGAATCGCGTGCGGGTCTAAACTTGTTGAAACTTGAAATACGCAAGAAAGTAAGGACCATGTACCAGTGGCAGCTTTCTGCTATTCGGAATGCGCCTTGATACGCATGCGTAGGCAACAAAAGCTACACGCTGACAACATGATGCGGCAGTGTGGCATTGAAGATAAACGTCAGGAGGTCATGACTCTGGATACTGACCGGAGTCAATGCCACAAACGTGGTGGACGTCAATCGCCGCCTAGAGGACTCCGGGGCTGTACATGTCCCTCCGACGGCAGTTGACTCGATCACAACTTGAATTGAAGGCTGACGGTTCTAGGGCTGCCGATCCAAGGCGTCTGCGCTCGAGCTCAGGTATATGACCATTCCAGGGTGTGCTCTGAGCAGGCGTATGATTCGCAGCCAGGTCTTGAAAGTAAACATAGTCAGGACTCAGCCCCAACGGTGGGTCGGCTAACTGGAGTAACAATGGAGTTACTAGACGACAACTTCATTCAGCGGTGTCGGCTCAGTCTGGGCACTGCCAGTAAACTTGAGTTAAGTTAATTTCGAGTAATATGGATCCGGCGCACAGGAATGCAGTGAGGTTTCCCTCGTTCAGTTGACGATATGCTCTGCCACGCCGGCGTGTTGGACGCTGCGGGAAATTTGAAGGTGCTGGTTCGCGTCTGGCTAGCAGCGCCATGACTGTGCTGCACATGGAAAGCCAGGAAATGGAAAGCCAGGAAATAGAAAGAAGGATGGCAGATGCAAAGGATGATGACTTTCGTGAGTATACACCGTCAATGAACGGGGATAGGAAATACATGTACTTCAAGTTACCAGTTTTCAGTGCCTCTCGCGAGTGTGTCAATCTGATTGATGCTAACGGACAGTGAGCACTAGTTGCGATTTGCAAGGCACTTGTTTTAAAACTCTGCCAGCCTGAGTGATTTAAAAGATCGAAGGAGAAAAATCTGGCTTACACCAGATGAGTGTTTCCGTCCGAGCCATTCATGCCTGCCACTCCAGGAAGAAGTGCGGAGCAGCTTTGCCTCGTCGGACGGCGGCAGCGTTGGATCGCGTTGCGAGTTTCCGGTCCCAAAGAACGCGATCGCCTGCAATTATGATGATGAGCGGAGCTGCGTCATGCTGCCCAACGCACCTCTCCCCACTGCTGCCAGTCATCCCCGCTGTCGTAGATGACCAGGACATTAATTTCAAACGCTTCGAGGCGCGGGAAGGGTGCGACGATCTGGCGGAGCCTGACAAGGTCCATTGGATAGGCCGTCATGCAGTTCAGGCCGGTGACTGTGTTGGGGCAGCGGTTCAAGGTGGTGCAGAGCTCGTCGATGGAATCGTAGCCGTGGACGCGGAGGTCGCGCGCACACGCAAGCGGTAAGAAGAGCAGCAGACAGTTGAGTGGGCCCTCGTAAATTGCGAGTTGCGGGAAGATAATGGCGTCCAATGGGGCAAAGTGGTCGATGTACACCTCGGAGTCTACTAGCGCGGAAGTTGTCGCAAAGATGAGGTTGTTGACAGCAGGGAAGCGCTGAGAGAGAATGGGCAACGACTCCCGGATCTCACGTTCGAAAATGCGGATCGAGAGCTGGTGGGCATGCGGGAATAGGGGGAAGTTGGTGATGGCGTTGGTGTCAGACGCGCCGCATTCGAAGAGCTCGAGAACATGAAGGCGGGCAGGGTCGAGGACTGACAGCCAGGGCTTGACGCGCTCCATGGCATAGCAGCTGACCAACAGCTTGTCGAGACAGAGCAGATTTGTTGATTGGTGCGGGGGAAGCTCGATAGAGCAGTGGTCTACCTCCAGGGCCAACGAAGTCGACTGGGAGATCAAAGCCAAGCTGGTAAGGGCCTTTTCATCCCAGCGAAAGCAGTGTGAGGTGAGCTTTTGAAGTGCAGTAAACGAGGGCATGGCGGCGGAGAGACAATCGGCCAGTACATGGGTGTTAGGTTCCTCGCTGAGGACGATGAATCCACGGCGCGCTGTGCCAGGCTTGCCAATGCTGACATGAAGCCAACGAACGAGTGGCGCGATATGGGGTGATGCGTAGAAGTCCAGACGTTGCATACGTCGCCGTAGTTCGTCGTCAGAAGGCAAGCAGAGCGTTACAGGCAAGTCTTCTTCGCTTATTGGCAGACTGTAGGGCTGAAAGAAGAAGTTTTCAAAAGAGCAAGACGCGTGCGACGGTCGCGAGCTGGCGGCTTGCGAGCGAGACCGCTTTGAGGGTTAACGCATTTGTTGGCCACTTGTTGGCATCATCGAGGGCGCGCAGGATGTGCAGCCACGTCTCGTTGGGAAAACGCGACATGAGAGTTGCATGAGAGTCGAAGAAGAGTACTTATGTCACCGGATCAACGCGGGCCTTCGGAATATCACATTGATGATTTCATCCGTCACGGTTGTCACGTCAACAAACTTCTTTCCTGCCTTAACGCTCTTGCACCAGCCTGCTGCCTGGTGGCCAACGGAAACCTGTATGGACTGTCCAAGAAACGTCCCTGCCCCTTCTTTCCTAGATTACAGATGACTGCAAGTGCCACCATACATGAATTTCCATAAATATCGTCTCCAGGTGCAAAACACCGTTGGTTGGCAGATAGCCGCCCATACCCACACCCACACCAACACAGCTCTATCTTGACTCTTTCCTACGCACCCCCATGACTCCTCGCACCCGCCCACCGACTGCCTTTGAACGCGGCATCCCCGACTACCGCCAGCGCATCCTGCTATCGCTTACCCGCGCCATCTTACTGCCCCCGCTCATTGCGCTGACACTTTCGTACTCCCTCTTGCGCTCTCCGACCATGGCCACATCTGTCATAACAGCAGTCTTCAGCATCCCCGCTTGCATTGCGCTGCGCTATTCCGTTCGCACACGGCGCCAGCGTAATGCAGCGCGGGCCCTTGGGGCTACTATGATACCGCGCGTGCGCGGTAAATGGCCCGGAAATGTGGATGTGGTCCTCCGGGTTGTGAAGTCATTCCAGGAGGAGTATGTTCTACAGGTCTTTGCAGACCTGTTCGACGAATACCAGACAAACACGCTCAATACTGGATTCTTTTGGGACGACCAGGTAAGCACTAGTACTCATCAGAAATGGAGAATGACTTCACCGCCATAGATCGTAACAAGGGATGAGAACGTCATGAAGTACATCTCATCCACTGGCTTCGCAAGCTTCGAGAAGGGGATCTTGTGGCATGAACGGATCGATAAGCTTCTTGGTACTGGGCTATTCAATGCGTGAGCCCTCCGTTTTTCTTCACTCTATCATATGCCCTCACAGTGTTTGTTCATTGGCAGTGAGGGAGAATTATGGAGAAAGGTAAGCATAACACCGTATTTCTCTCATTTCCCGAATGACGGGATGCAATCCAGGGACGAGCTACTGCGCGGCCCTTCTTCGCGAAGGAGCGCATTTCCGACTTCAACACATTCGAGCGGACCGTGAGCACCACCCTCGATCTCCTCGCGCACCGTTCAGCCGTGAACCTTCCCATCGATGTCCAAGACCTCCTTGAGCGCTTCACCCTCGACTCCGCCTCCGAGTTTCTGTTCGGCATGCAGCTCGATACGCTTTCGCAGCCGCTCACCGAGCCGGGTCGGGTCAAGCTTGGGCCACGCGGTTCGATGCCCATCGAGGGGGCCACCGCGTTTGACGAGTTTACGCAGGCGTTTGAAAATGTCGCGGTCATCATCACGAGGCGCGGGACCCAGGGCGATACCTGGCCACTTCTGGAGCTATTTGCGGACAAGACTGAGGACGCAACGAACACCATCATGAACTGGCTCGAGCCAATCGTCAAACGTGCCATCGACGAGAAGGACCAGCGTCGATTGGCGGGAGTTGCCACCCCAGCGAGCGAGAATGTGTTTTTGGACTATCTTGCATCGAGGACAGACGGTAGGTGTTCGTATCAATGCCACTGAAGTTATTGCTTAGCATGTGCATATAGATGTTGAACATATAAGATACGAACTCGTCACTTACTTGATTGCCTCCAGAGACACGGTATGCTCTTCTTGCCAGCTGGATGATGATTGATCCCATTTGCTCATTAGACAGCGAGCCTGCTCACCTTCGTCATGTACTTTTTCGCCATGTACCCAGACGTCTGCTCTCGGTTACGACAAGAGGTTCTCGCCGTCATCGGTCCGATCAACTCTCCATCCTACGAAACACTGCGAAGTATGAAATACCGTGAGCGAACCTGAACTATACATGTTATTATCATGACCATACTCCTCAGTGCGTGCGGTGCTCAACGAAGCCCTCCGTCTTCTCCCTAGCGCCCCCCTCATCGCCCGGACCTCACTCGATAAGCCCCAGATCATCCCTGTCCCCAACGGGCCATCGTGGTTCTTCCCGCCAAAGACGCAGGCAATGATGATTTCCCTCTTGACACATCGCCGTGCGGACTTGTGGGGCCCCGACGCCAACGAGTTCCGCCCGGCGCGCTGGCTCGAGCCTGAGACGGTAGCCAAAGTCAACGCAACGCCGTTCATGTACTGTCCATTTTCTGGTGGCCCGCGTATCGTGAGTGCTCATACTCCCCACTTGTTTCTCCACAGTTACTATTACTGCCGCTTACCCACCCGTTCGACAGTGCATCGGCCAGGAGTTTGCGCTCAATGAGGCCGGCTTCTTTCTCGTGAGGCTGCTCCAGCGCTTCAAGAGGTTTGCGCTCGCACCAGAATTCCAGCCGGCGGGGTCACTGCCGCCAGATAGCTGGAAGGGCAGGCCGGGGAGGCAGACTGTGGAACGCATCTTCCCGGCAATAAACTTCACGCTGCATAGCCGGGTTCGTCTTTCGCGAATGCTTGATGCTGTGATGTTGACTGACATGAGCGGTAGGGTGGGATGTGGATGCGTGCAGAAGCGGACCTGGAAAAAGAGTAGGCTACCGATAGAGTGGAAGGGTTAAAGCTACACATTATGAGGGCGCAGGTCTCAATAAGTTGATGTTCACTACTATTCCTTACGCATTCACCGGCATGTAACCCCCCCGGAATCGCGGGCCGGATCGCTCAGCTTGCAAATCGGCCGCAGATTACTTTGCGGGAGAACTTGAATGGACTTGTCTGCTACTCACGCACTTGCAAGCGCCCTCCGAACACCATGGTCTTCGAGTTGCCCATCCTGTTACATATGTGGTAGATTTGGTCAGGATCATGATCCGGCAACTACCGACTGCTCCGAGCACGATGACGTATGGCATCGTTATCGATCTTTGCTTTCCACCATGAATCCCCTACTCCGTCTCGCGAATTTGGACCGGCTGCCCATCACGATTAGGGTACTCTTGGACATGATCTTACCATCAGTCTATTCTGACTATCATCCAGGTCCATGCAAAGGCGGCAAGCGGACCGACCGGCTCGTTAGCCGCTCTCGAAAGAATCTTGCGCTTCCTCCCGACAATGTCCTCTGAATCCTTGCAAAATCTCATCCCACTGCTCTACAACATCCTTGATCCTGACTACGCGGACCTGTCCACCTTCTTTGAAGCCCCAAAGCCGAATTACACGCTTGTCCACCGTGCAGCACTGGCTTTGGAGATCATGTACCAGAATCCTATTGTCAACAGTGCCATCGAGGCAGCACCAGACATCTGGGAGAGAGTTTGGCCCTGGGTCCACTTTCTCTACCAATTCCGCGACATGTTAGGCAGCAATCTCCCGGCAGCACCATTCATCAGTGCTGTCCTTGTGGGTGCAATGGCAAGACTTACAGAACATTCAAGAGAGCTCCGTGAAAAGATAATGGAAACTCCAGGTGCTCTAGCTGTTGTGGCTGGCTGCTGGCCTCACATCCTTCAAATTGAAAATCCAACTGAGCGAATGCTACCTTGTGTGATGGTAGCAGTATTTATCAAAGATGAGCGGATTACTCGCCAACCATACCTAAATGATATTGTCCATGCAACAGGGGGCTCTGTGTGGCACTTTTCACAGGTGGTCATGAAGCAGATTCAGGTTCTTGATTTGCCTCAGAACTCGGCAGATGAGAAGACCATTCGACAATTCACCATCATGGCACATCTTTCAAGCTATTTTGACAGGGATGCACCTAGTGATAATTCTCCTCCTCTTAGTCTATATACTCAAGCACTTTTGAAACATGGTTTTAGCTAGTGCTGGCCAGAATTATATTATGCTTGATTAAATATTGAATATATTCAGAATATTATGAATATATTATGCACTTCGTGGATCACTTGAATATGATTATGTTTGAATATATTATATTATATTATGACTATGCTATCGCAGAATATTCAACTATAGTAAGGTGGATGATTACAGCTATTTTCTCAGTCTATGTACTCAGTCATAGTACTAATCTTAGTCTGAGTTAGCCCTACTTCTGATAAATGTCACATATTATCTATTATATATGGTGATTCATACATTACCCTTAGTAGGAACAAATGTCAGGAGTGATCACTTTGGGTTGACCTATTAAACATAGTGTAGGACCTCTGATCAAGTGTCTACTGGCTAACCTAAGACTAGTGACAATACCCCTGATTGTATTTTGAGAGTCCTATGTAACCCAGGGAGGCCCAAAAGGAAGTTGCACTGACAATCCAGCATATATTTTATGTTTTTGATTCCTTTTTCTAGCAGCAAATATGTCAAACATATCAAGAGATAGACATACTAGATTATAGTTGAATATATTCATAACATATTCATATTTTGCAGCTGAATATGATTATATTATACTACGAATATATTATTGGGTTGGAGCTCTGAATATGATATGATTATAATATATTATGCCCATAAAATAATATAATCATATTTGGCCAGCACTAGTTTTAGCAGGGCTCTTGCCCAAGGCCTTCTTGCTCTTAGCAGCTCTCAGGCACCACCATCTGTTGTTTTTGATGGTTTGAACAAAGCTATCTGTGTTCTATTCCAACTCTTCAAAGCACCCTCTGGCCATGCATATGTTCATGAAGCAGTTGATGCTGGGCTTATTGTAGCCTTTCTCCAAATTTCTAAAGGCCAACATGCAGGGAAACTAGGAGCACTTGTCAAAGCCTTTGTCATGTATGTCTTTCCCGGGACTACAATTCGATGCAAAGCACTTCTAGCATTTAAAAATTCTCGGTCTTCAATACAGAGGCTCGCTAAGCTGCCAAGTCAAGGTCAACCTTGGGCATCCTTTGATGTCCTTCTCAGTAAACGTCTCAGTGCATATGATGAGCATCTTGCAATGAATCATGAGCGTCTTAAGATGTGTTCTAACTTAAAGGTGTGTAATCCTGCCACTTCACTTCTATTATTGAATATAGTCATATAAGTGTATAAAGATCAATATGCGATCAGAATTCCAACGCTGTTCTGGATGTCTAACCTTTTATTACTGCTCACATGCATGTCAACGGGAAGATTGGAAGACTGGAGGTCACCGTAAGGGATGTTTCCTGCATCGATCAGCATATCTTGGTGAGTTTATTTATTTCTGAAAGTATTGCATTGTAATGAATTATACTTTAGTTCAAATGCTTAACTCAGACCTCACTTTGCATGATCACTCTTTCATCCGTACACTGATGGATATTGATCTGACTGAGAAACGTCCAGAAATTCTAGGACACCAGTTGACTATGATGAAACAATATCCAAACTATCAACCATTGACAAAGTTTGATTATACCCAAGGGGACTTAGTGTTTGAAGTCCTTCCTAGCTCACCAAAAGTGCTCAAGCAGCTGTTTGGCTCACAGACTAATGCAGTTTCTGCAGCTGGGGATATGCATCAGCGTTCAAGGGCTAGCAATGGACAGATAGGCATGGCAGTATGTGCATATCATGGAGCTGGGGTGCATGTTGCTGGAGTTGGGTCATTGAAATATTGGCTAGTTCCAACCAGCACCAGTCACTCAATGTTTCCTGGAATGAGACATTTGGCAGATAGCTTGCCTACAGACTTGGCTATGTGGTCCTCAGAAGAAAATCTGTGGAAGGTTGCTAATGGATTATCCAAGATTGGGATTCAAAGTGGAGGAGAGGATGCATTAGAGTTCCACTGAGGAGATAGGTAGATTATTTGGACAGCAGATGCCAGTGCAGAGCCACCACAGCTTGGAAAGGTTTCAAATCTCAGGGTAATGACTGTAAAAGACTTCAACTGCTGCTGAAACATTGTGAAATTCACCATTATATATAATGAGAAAATGATTAAAATTCTTTGCATAATGACCTTGGTTATAATTGAGTCAAGCCAATCCATAAGTCATCAAAGGTCAGTAGTTAAAAGACATATTTTCAGGTATCATAGATTCGGTTGTTGCAACTTGTTAGCAACAGTATGGTAGGTTAAGCTGAAGATGTACTATACTTGGTGTGGTATGCAAAAGTGTTCTACTTATGTTATAATATATGATCCTACTCCAACAAAACCTTTGGCATTTTCAACCTTAGTTTTCAGTATATACTTTAGTACCAATATTATGCAATGCTCTGGAACAGTAGCTGATTCACACACGGTAAATACAAACCTTTCTTTTCCCATAGAAACATGAACACAAATATCACCTTTTAATATATATTCACCTTTTAATATATATTTCCTCCTCAAAGAAATAAGATATTTTATCTGCATAAAAACAGACACCAAAATGATTTCTTTTTATCAATCTTTAAGTACCAGAGAAAGACTCTCTGTTCATCACAATAAAAGAGCAATTAAAAGACTGCCACTTTGTCCAACTTTCTGTCTATAACAAATTGTGATCTTTGTGTTTTTGCAACAAAGGCCAATTGACATTAGGGCTTTTGATGTGCCTTTTTGTGTTGCACAAAGAACAACTTTCCATGACACCCAAAGACATTCAGAAAGATCATCTTTCTGTAGCTCTTTTGGACTATCACAAAGCACATCTTTGTGATTGCCCAAGAGGGGAAAGGAAAGAGTATCTTCTGTACACCTTCCAGTTCGACTAAAAGATTAGCTTTCTGTCAGGACTAATAGGTGTGAAGAAATATGATATTTCGGTGCTACTCTAGGGTACACCTTGCAGCTCAGGTAGGGTTACCTTGGATGATGATATGGTGACAGAATGTTTATGTGATTGTATTATAAGTAACGGAGAGTCTGAGGCAAAACTGAGTGGCTATCACAACACTATATCAGAGTGAGCGATTACACGTCTTGCACGCCGAAAGCAAGTCTGAACAAATACGTGAACTCCTGCAGATACGTTTGGAGAAGCCGAAGGTGATAAAGGCTTAGAACGCAGAGGGAGTCGGACAAGAGCGGAGAGTGAGGCAAGAAACATTAATAACGAAACTGAAGTACAGGAGTGTAGAGTATGAGTATTTTTTTATACTAAGTGGTAAGCATAAGGCATATGATCTTGCAGGGAGATCTGATGTGGTCCACGGGATCTCCCTGCAGGTTAAGTACAAAGGCATAGAAAGTAAGGGAAACTGTCAGGGGAACCCCCGCTTCGGCCTCCTTCGGACCCTCCGAACGCATCCGAGGCGCATCCGACCGGCGCCCCCTCGGACGCTCCGACCCACCCCGACCATCGTCCATGGCCTCCTTCGCCCGCACAATCACCAATCCGTCAAGACCCTCCCAATGATCACCTTGGGACAGAGCCTGCGACGCCGCTCAGGCCTTCTGCGCTCTACGTCGGCAGTTACGGACGACCAGTATATAGTTGGCGCCCTAGCAGGCGGACCCTTAGGGTTTCTTCTCTTTGGATCCTCCCCTGCTAGGTCGGTCCCTCCGTGTATTTCCGTAGCTTTTATTCACACTTTGGATCCTCCCCTGCTAGGCTTTCGTCGGAGTCTCCAGGGTTGCCCTTACAGCAGAAGAAACTCTCTACGGGATTAACCGGTCAAGATTGCCAGGTTTGGCGCTGATTCAGGCTCGGAGTACGAGTCCGTACCCCCCTCGTCACCGCCCTTGCCACTTGACCCCTCCTCCTCTGCTCTTGTCGTCTTTACGCCCGCTATGTCTACCGGAGCTGCTCCGGATGCTGACGTGCGCATGGACGCACTTGAGGCGAAACTAGACAACCTCACCAATATCCTCACCCACCTTGCTTCCCAGGCTTCCGCTGCCGCACCACCTTCGGCAGCTCCCGAACCGCCTTCGGCATCTCCGAATGCCCCCGACGCGGATGCGTTATTTGGTGACATTACTGTCGCCTCAAAACTGGTCTTATGACCAAACCCCCCGTTTGCGTTTAACAGAGATTGCAAACGCGGCCGCACCTTCCTCACCTGTGGGTGTAACCATTTGCCTTCCGTCCCTGCAGGGGCAGGGCCAACCAAATGCATTTTCGCCTGCACCTGCAGGGACATTTGCCTTCTGCTCCCCTCCTAAATTCATCTGCGGGCCCAAGGCTCCGGAGGGTCGGCCGTGTGACCCATGTGACCATCCAAATTAGGCACCAGGCTGATACCATCTCTAATAAGATGATGGGACATCATGAACCATCAGTCGCATCACTCTACCACAAAAACACAAGACAAGACGCTATCACATTTGACATAGATTAGATCACATTTGGATAGATTACATAGATTAGATCAAGATCAACGCAACGATCTACATCTGGTCCTCGTCTTCGCTGTCCTCGTCTCTTTCCCCCCGTAGCTCCTGTCCCTGCTCCGCCACAACCCTCCGCACTGCGTCGGCTGCCGACAAGCTCCAACGCCCCCTGAAAGACCCCGCAATACGACGGAATACTGCGGCTTGCTTTTTCGCGTAGGCAACCAGGCCCTGCCACAGTTCCCCGTCCACCTCAGAACGATATGATTCCCTTGATTGCCACTCCCCCCTCAACCGTTTCCAGGCTGCGCAGGACCCTGCGCATTTCCTCCTGGATCAGCTGTACCTCCTCCACCCAACGGTCCCGCCTCGCCCGTGCCTTGGTCCACTGTACCCACACCGCTAGAATACCAATCATCAATGAAACCCCCATGAAGTAGACCAACAACTAACCATCATGGAGCCGCTCCGGCCCGCCCACCTGCCATATCCACGAAACAGGTACTGCCTGTGTTGTCGCCGTCGGCTCGTTTCGTGCACGCCTGCTGTTGCCAACCCTCCCAAGCGCAGACCTTGCCGCAGCGCCGCTCTCTTCTTCACCCATTACCCGTATATCCTCTTCTCGCAACTCTTGGAACTCGGGGGCAAAGTCGTCCTTCAATCGATGCCCGGCCTCATAGGCCTTTCGGTATTTCGTTACTTCTCGTCTTCCATGCCCTTCGATTCGCGTGATCAACGTGTTTGACCGCGTTGATGCCGCCTGCCCAACTGCATTCGCATTGCGGTAGTTGATAATGTGGGTCTTGGCCTGCAAATAGCCCCCCGCAGCTTTCCCAAAGCATCCGCACACTGCCCCCCTCGCAATCGCGCCTCCGTGTCAGCCAATCCCCGCCCCCCTACGCGCCGTCGTTGGTCCGCTGTAAGGTCCGATGGAAGCCACAGTCGGATCTCCTCCGCGAGCGGAGGTGGGGCATCACTATCTCTCTTCTCTTCCTCTGCCTGCCGCAGAAGCCCCACTCCAGGCATGAACACAACCTGATGCTCTTCCCAAGTATGGAGTTTTTTTGTAAAAGGCGGCTCGTAGCTCGTCAATTTGGCTCGAACGCTCCGCCGTCATATTCGTCGTTTGTTTGACCTCTGTGCTGATTCGCCGTCTGCAAAACAATCAGTATCCTCTTCCGCATGGCAGAAGCAGAACCTACTGCATCTCCTCCAACTGCAGCGCTGCCTTCATGAAAGCGACACTGGTCATTGAACCAAGTAACGCATCCACTCGCCCCATGCGGATGTCCTCCAGCTCAGCTCGTTTGAGATCGGCCACAATCTTCGCTTCCGAAGGTCCCACTGCAAGAGCCACATTAGCATTAAGGATTCAGCTCAAAGCTGAAGCTACGAACCAAAAGCACCATCCAAAACATATGGATTCTGTTGTGAAGGATCGGCATTCCAACGGTCCAATCGGCCCTGCCAATCTGCGCGCATATTGCTCGTCAAAGAAGAATCGACCTCCTCGAACTCTCCGATTTGCTGGTCCCGCTGAGCGATGGCAATGATGAGTTTCCGTGCCAGTGTATCCCCTTGTTTATTATTTAGACCCGGTCCAGCGAATGACTTCTGGACATACCTTCCATCACATTCTTCTCGAAATTGATATGATCCACCTTCTCCTCGATTGTATCGTGGCGGCCGCCCGCTCCCATCTCCTTCGTCAAGAAACCGATAGGGTTTAGGATAGCCCATGTTCGTTCGATCCCCTCCCCATCCGTTCGCACCACTCCTACTGCGTGGCTCAAGGAATTCGCAGCTTGACAACTTGTTTCGTGGGCAGCCGCGTGCCAAACAGGCAACACGAACTGGATCTTGTAGCTGTCGAGCTTGGTTTTGATCGCATGTGAACCATTAAGCCCTAAGGCTTCCACGTTTTCGGTGCCCATCCGCTCCTCTATCTCCTTCAACCGCGTATCCTCGCCCTTTACCAACAACTTCGCTCGCAGCATAAGACGCTGCTTCCACTGACAAGCGATGTCGTACGACACCACAAGTCGTCTTACACAGACGCCGCCCACAGCGGATAGGAAAATCCAATCCATGTTAGCGTATCTGACCGCATTAGTTAGCTCGCTGAAGGCTACGATGGTGCAATATACGAACCTTTCCCCCTTCTGCAAATCCCCCAATCCCAGCGGACGCACAACTCCATGGCGAGCACAAACGCAGCCGCCCACGCCTGAAACCCGCAAGCCGGTCGTGAGTTTTGTCTCCTTTTGCATTAGCGCCTGGAACGCGATGCAAGTACTTGTCTGTAACACGTTAAGTCAAGAAAATAGAATGACAATAAAGGCGCACATCTTCTTCGACGACGTAGTTCCGCAGGTGGGACTTGTATGGCTCGTCGAGTACGAAATATCCCATGCCGGAACACAACGATGGGTCGTCGCGCTCGTTGGCCCGGATTAGATTCTTTAAACGGAAATTGGCGTCCGTTGCGAGCATCAAAGCATACAAAAAACTTTTGAAAAGAAGTTAGAATCGTGCCATTATTTCAGTTTTCACTCACGCCTCCTTCTCCGGCACATTCTCCCAGCCGTCTGGTAAGTTGCGACCCGGCTCTGGACATGCCCAACAGGCAACGGCAAGCCCACCGGCCAGTGTTTTGGCCAGGCCTTCAGGGTCATGCCCCCGGCCCGCACGCTTCGCTCGGATGAGGAATTCGTATTGTCGTGCCATTCGCATGAACGCCTTATATCGATCCTAACTGGTTATAAGACACATAACAGTCACCAAAGGTAAAGACGAACCTGCACTTTTCGCGTCATTGTAGGGTTGCAGAGTCGTTCGAGGCTTCGCACAAAGTCGTTTGCGTTGACATTGCCCACCACCTTGAGTAATCGAAAAAGGTCCAAAACGGCAAACGTGGCGCAAGTAGATGGATTGCTCGTGGTAGCCGGGTACCACGCATTATCGAGAAGTTGTGAAATGTGGCCGTGTCGATGTCGAAGATTTAGACTACAGCCGCAAAATCTATGCGCTTTTCAGTTTCAAAAAGTAAACCAGAAAACAGTCCACGTACCTCACAGTAACCTGGAAAATGCCGTGGACATCGAGCACCACCAGGGTTCTGACCTTGGGCTCGGGATTGGGACAAGGAAATCCGTGGTGGCCAAGCTGATGACACAAACCCAGCGAGGTGTGTGCCTCAGCATCGTTGTACAAGGAACATTCAGCCCAGAATTCGCCAGTCCACACCTGGCCACATGTCAGGCACCACTCGAAATGAAGCGTCATTCGCAATACTCACCTGTGGACGATGAAGGGCCAAGTGCTTGTGGTGTTCCCCGCAAACAGCTTTCGCATTGCAGAAAACGCCCGCACTGTCGACAACGAAAGAGTTGTCCATCCACCTCCCCACATTGTGCGCAACACGCTCCATCGTATCCACGGCCCAGACCCTCCCCACGCAGGAGTTCGTCAAGAAAGAGGTCCATTTTGTTGCGCCATAGAGCCATAGGGTTGTCCTAAATGAAACGTATGCGTCAGTTGTTGTTCTTGTCGAAGCAGCGGGCGAAACTCACGGAGCTCATGTAGCGCTTGCGCCCATGCCCACTCACGTCTGGGACCTGTACGACGATCTCGTCAGCGAGAGAGGCTGAATCCTGCCAACCCTCCTCGCCAAACGGAAGCCAAGACCCCAACGAGTCTGCCACCCCGAGCCTGGGCCGCTTCGCTGGATGGACGTTGACCAGCTTCTGGGCCAGCACACGGCCATCGTAGCCAAAGTGTGTCCCTCGGTCGCCGTGCCTCTCTGCTCGATGAGGGATTCCCTGGCGAAATGTGTTCTTTTTGCGGTGTGAGCGCATATCCAGGCAAGCGAATGTAGAGAACGTACAGTGACACGTTTGGAGGCTCAGCGCTCAGGCCTGACCGGTCAGCCTGACGAGTGGGCGAGCAGCAAGCGAGTGGAGGGAAAAATGTGGCACCATGCCAAGTACGGCACAGGGACCATCAATCACAGTCATGTGTCATTGATGCGGTTGCCAAGCTAAGCTACAGACGACCGGTCTGTGCCAATTGTTCTCTTGCCCCAGTCTTGCCCTCTGGCGTCCCCGGTGCGTAGTCCATGCTACACACCTTGACTCAATACCACGTTCGAGGAGGAAAAAGCGGGAGGGAGGGGGGATTTCAGGGAGGACCTGACATCGTGGACACCCGGTTACCGCGCAGGATCGTTGAAACTTGATGGTGAAATTTGCCTTACAAGGATTCATATGATCAGTGCGACATAACCGTCATTGCGACGTAACCGTCATTGCGCCATAAAATCGGTTTGCAGATCTATTATATCTCCCATTGGGGCTGACTACTTGGCGAAGGCTTAGGGGGGCCAGCGAGCTGTTGGACGAGCTCTTCCTCACCATCGTCGCTGCTGCGAACGACATCGGGCATGAGCTATGAGTCTGAGGGAGGATGGGAAAAAATGCAAGGGAGTGCCTGGGCCGAGAGTAAAAGCCATGTGTTACGTGTCAAATAAATCAGTCACAATGGTCTAGGCTGCCAAGACCAAGTCGGAGATGCGTGCCGGGTTTTTTTGTATTACAAGGAGGCAAAAAACATGCTACAGATTGAAAACTAATTACCACGGAGTCAGATCCATCGGAAGAACGGTGCGACCGTCGGGCCAAGCCAGGTGTTGAGCAGCTTCGAATTGAACAAAGTAGCGCCAGCCCAGACGATGCGAGTCGAGAAGATCCACGGCCCTGGATTAGCGTTGATGAGCGAGGGTCCGTGATAGAAACAGAGTGAAGTTACCGGAGGATGTACGAATCGATATGGGGCTCGTCAGCAGGAGACACATCCGCAAAAGACAAGTCGAAGACAGAGCGAGCGGTTGCGTCGACCTGAGGGGTGCTTGCAGGAACAGTGTCATACTTGAAGGCAAGAACATTTCCGAGTGGGGCTCTAAGTTTGCGAGTACCGGGTGGGGGCCCGGGAATGATCTCCTCCACTGAAGCATTCGTGCTGGACGTCTTCTGCGGTTCGGGGAAAGTGGGGGCAGGTGAAAAGAAAGGCGTAGCCTCCGTTGCCGTGGCGAAAGAAGGGTCGAGCACAGCAAGCACAAGCCGCTGGGTTGTAATCGAAATGAGGGAGATATTTGTCTCCGTGGAGCGCGACTGATTCGAGAGAGGAGAACGCGAACCAAACGAGGAGTTTCCCGCCCCACTCTGGGCCAGAGGCGCCTTCCTGATAGAGGAGCGCAGTGCATTGGCCAGGACGATTCTGGGAGACAACGATTGAAGATTTGGGGAGCAGGAAGGAGGATGCTTACTGGACCGATGAGTGGCTTGACTGGCTGAGGCGCAGGAACGGGGAGATAAGCTTGGGCCTCGCTTTGAGCAAGGGCTGAGGATGGGATGGCGGTCGTCAACATCAGTGGGCGAGAATGCAGAAATGACCAAGTCACGAGCAAATCAGCTGATCTGAAAGTCTTGCCTTGGTCTTGCGACAACCTCAGACAGTGGCCGCACCAACAGAACGACGCCGCGGCTATGACAACGGAAGCCCAAGCTGGAGCTCCAGACATGTTGGATGCGTCTCAGCCGCCTGAAGTGCCGGACGAGAGTAAGAGACCGTTTTAATGCGACCGTTCTTGACTGCTGAGGACTGCCTAGATGTCTTCAACGAGGATACTGATGCTGTATCTAAGGGGGTTCAGGATGACGAGGAACGCATGTCGGACGACGACGACGACGACGGTATGAGCTTACGCGTAATCGTCGACATGCTTTGCTGATATGCTTTACTGTATGGTCAGCTACGGAGCAGGTCCTTGACGGAAAGAGAAAGTCGCGGCACAAGCCAAAGGAAGAACTGCTCAACAACAAAGGATGGGCTCGTGGTTTCCGCGCAAAGTTGTTTATGAAGTATTTCCCGAGGTACCGCCAAGCCAAGGACCACGAAACCGATGAGGCGGAGGACGTGAAAGATTCCGAAGAGCCAGTCAATCATAGAAAATGGACGAAAACGACACCGCCTGACGATGACGCTGGGCTGACAACGGAAGAGAAGGCGGCAAAAGGCCAATGGATGGCGAGGATGAAGCCAGTAAGTAATAATAGCTCGTGACGGTTTGTCATCCGACTCTGACGCTCGCCTCCTCATGCTCTTCAAAATTGCCGGTTGCGAACCACCTCACCGAGGACGACAAGGCTTTCAGCAGTTTTGGCACGAGGAATCCAAGACTACGGTGGAGCAGGAAGTCATGAAGTGGTGGCCAACGTCGTCGGCTCGAGCAGAAGTCATCGCAAAAGCAAAAGCGGCAGGGAAAGGAAATGCCGTGGATCCGAAGCCGACGGGAGGCTACCGAAACACGATTGCTCGGCTTCTGTTCGCGGAGAAGACTGAGGAGGAGCAGCAACCCTACGTGGACCGTGCCGGGGGGACCTCAAAAGAGAAGAAAGACAATTTCGATGAAGCGATGAAGGTCTGGCTGCCTACAGATCCAATCTCAAGACAAGCGTAAGTTGTGTGGTCAAAGAGCAAAGAATTATTGACTGAAATTGTAAACAGCGCTCTGGATAATCTGGCGCCAACGCGGGGAAAGTTTATGAACGGCCTCAACGAACTCACAGGAATGCAAGTGCTTCTTGCCATGGTTGGGCCTATCCCGAAGATGCGAGGCACAATCCACACAATGCAGTACATTGTCTAATTGTACGCTACAAAGTATTGAGAACACATTCAGCTTCACGGTGGGTGAGAACAAGGCACCAGCGCCAGTGTCCTTTGCAGAATGGGACCCTGATCACTTCAACCACCATGTCCTCAACCGGATGAAGGCCTACGGCAGAACGGCATTCAGTGAGTAGTCATTGTCCGTGTCGGTCAGCTTAACTGAGATGTGTGGTCAGCGCAGGAGGAATGTACAGCTGCCTCACTACCCGATGAGATGTGTGTGCTGGACGACAGGGCAATGCTGCGTTTCCCATCGGTATCGAAGGCGCCAGGTGGCGGTGGGTCAGACACAATGGAAGTGGACGCTGAGGACGGCGAGATGCGCGAAAGCGTGGTTGGCCAAAAACGAAAGGCAGCCAACCAGGGTGAAGGCCGAGGGGTAAAGAAGGCCGCGGCAGGAACCAACAAGTCGGCAAGCGGACAGAAGGGCGCTGCCAAGAGAGGGAAACAGCCACCGAAAGAGCCGTCGGTTGCCAAGGCCAAGGGAAAAACGAAAGCCGCCACGAAAGTAAATCAGCCGCTGCTGGGGGGGTCTGGGCGAGCAGGCGGTTGCGACAGACGAGTCGGGTGCCGAGCAAACGAGGACGGAGGACGGCGAGAAGAACCAAGAAGAGTCAGTGCTCCTAGAGGAGCCACCGCCAGCGGTTACACAGACCGAGCAGGAGGCGGAGAAGGAGACAATGCCTCCCCCCGTGCTGAGTTCGCGAAGGGAGGAGGAGGTCGCGCCTTTGCCCTGTCCGGACGACGCACCTGATTGGATTAAGTCGTACTGGAAAGAGTTGGCCAGCAAGCCGCTAAACGAGAAGTATAACAAGCTGTTGCTTGCGCTCGTGACGCTGGAAACGACGTGGAACTGGGGACGGGACGAGCGTTCGGGGCCTGTCCGCCAACGGCAGGCCAAAGCAGCACGCAAATTGGATCCAATGCGCGCGAAATAGCGGGGGTAGGCTGCCGATCGGAAACGTCAAGACCTACGAGAAGCAGTGGTGGGCCTGGTGGAAGCACATCCAACCTGAGTGGCGGAACGCGATGCAGTGGCATGAAGAGCCAACTCAAATAGAGGCAGTGGATGGGCAGACATGGGAGGAGCTTTTGGTACCGGGACAAAATGGGATGCTGAACGTGGTGGTGGGACTTTACTGGTGGGCGTGCGAGTCGAAACGAGTGCTGAGCAAAATGACAAAGTCCTGGTGGCGGGCCATGGAAGATGTTACGTGGGTGTTAGGCCAGCTGAACGCCACCGCCGCCGCCAAAAAACCTGTTGATGCCTGAGGTTCTTTGCAATGCGTAGACCTACTTAGACGTGAAATTCTTCTACTTAGACGTGAAATTCTTGACTTTGCACATGTGATGTGAGCTGCGCGAGCGTGAAAAAAAAAAAAAACTTGAGTTGAGAGTGGGAAAAGGCAAACCAAGAGACCTACAGTAAATGGTGTATTGCATGAATAATGAAGATTAAGTATGAAATATTAAGGACTGTGATTTTGAGATCTGAAGGACAAGTGGGGGGAGATAAAGAGAAGAAAAAAACATTTGATTTGACAAGAACTAACAATATATGCTGAAAGGATACCGTGAACCCGGCAGGGGCGGGGGAAGCGGATGGGCGGGAGGGCGGAAGCGGGCGGCTGGGCGGGGGGCGGGGACCCGGTTCAGGTGTGCCGGGCCGAGGCGGGTATGTGGGCAGCTGTAGCCGGTAATTGGCGGTGGGCAAGAAAGCATGTGAATAACCAATGGCAGGATCAGTCGGCCCAGAAATATTTCTGATGGCTAGTGGGTCGGGAGACCAAATAGGCAACCGTGATGCAATCAACCCCGGCGGGCCGCCAAAAAAAGGCCAAGGCCGGGGCTGGCTGCGGGGTTTGGCTGTTGGGAGCCATTTGCCTATTGCACCTGCAGAGCTGGCCCCTGCTCTACAGGCGAATTATAGAAATGCTCCGCCTGCAGCTGCAGGGGACATTTATATAATAGTTACCACTATGGCTCCCTTCCTATTGTCCGATACCGCGGCCTTAGTGGAGGCGCATTCGGAGGCTCCGGCAGGAGATTTTGTCCCCCGCGACGAGTGACTGGTGTGCCCTCGTTCGCGTCCATAAATCGTTTCACTTGTTTGTATGATGAATCAACTCACTTGCCCGACAACGAGCCTGAAACGAAAGACGCACCCTCTGCCCCCTCCGAAGCCCCCGTTCGGATTCGCTGACTTGCCTGGGAGAAAAAGCTACCTGGCAGCTATACCATCTCTGCCGCTCCTAGGGTTAACTCGCTCCACCTTCCTCTCGAACTTGAGTCCACCGCGAACGCGCTCAAGCTCTCCCTCTCAGGTCTGGTCGACTGCGGAGCCACTTCGGACTTTATCAACCGAAATAATGTGCCAGTCCAAAATCTCTCAGTACCCATACCGGTCTACAATGTCCCCAATGATGCTGGGTCTATTCGCCAAATCACGGACCTCGTTCTACGGTACAACAGACACTCCGAACGCGTTCAGCTGGCTGTAACCCACCTTGGGAAACAGGACTTGATACTCGGGTACTCCTGGCTCAAAAAGCATAACCCCGAGATCAACTGGGAAACGAAGGAGGTGAAAATGAGCCGCTGCCCCCGAAGTTGCTCCACCTGCCACGACGAGGAACGGACCGAGCGCGCTGAGGTTCGGCGCCTCCGACTCCTTAAATCACGCTTGCTTGCGGGTGCCTTCCCCACTGTTTGCGCTATCGATATTGCTGGCCCAGACGACGCCCGACGACGAACTCGGAGCTACTTCGGACCCTCCGAGTCCCTCACCAGATCTCGACGACGACGAGCATCTTGAAGACGGCGACCGCATCTTCTACACCTCCTTTCGCCCAATCGAGGAGATTTGCGCTGGGAGCACCGTGTCCCAATGCCTTGCAGAGGCCTTCGCCCGTAACTCGGCCCCTCCGCCTTCGGAAATTCCGGACTGGGCCAAGGAGTTCCAAGACGTCTTCGACAAGGAGTCCTTCAACACGTTACCAGAGCGGAGGGCTTGGGACCACACTATCGAACTCGTTCCCGACGCGAAGCCCGCTAATTGCAAGGTGTACCCAATCTCCCCCCTCGAACAGCGCGAACTTGACGAGTTCATTGAGGAAGGGCTTGCTACCGGCCGTATCTGCCCTTCGAAATCTCCGATGGCTTCCCCTGTCTTCTTTGTTAAGAACAAGGACGGAGGACTTCGGTTTGTCCAGGACTACCGCGCCCTCAACGCAATGACGATTAAGAACCGGTACCCCCTCCCGTTGATTAATGACCTTATCAACAGGCTCAAGGGTGCCCGTTATTTCACTAAACTCGATGTTCGCTGGGGCTTCAATAACGTCCAGATTAAAGAAGGAGACGAGTGGAAGGCGGCCTTTCGGACTAACCGAGGGTTGTTCGAACCTTTGGTGATGTATTTCGGTCTGACAAACTCCCCCGCGACTTTCCAAACGATGATGAATGACATTTTCCAGGATCTCATTCTTTCAGGAGATGTCATGATCTACCTCGACGATATCCTTATTGCGCATTCGGACCTCCGTAAGCACCGCGAGATCATCCGCGAAGTCCTTCGGCGACTCCGAATGCACAAGCTGTACCTCCGCAAGGAGAAGTGCGACTTCGAGAAATCGTCGATCGAGTACCTGGGGGTTATCATCTCTCACAACCACGTCGAAATGGATCCCGTTAAGGTCGCCGGAGTCTCCGCATGGCCTCCGCCCCGAAAACAAGAAGGATGTCCAACAGTTTCTGGGATTTGCTAATTTCTACCGCAGGTTCATTCGGGATTTCTCGGCCCTTGCACAGCCCCTCTTTGCGCTTACCAAGAAAGACCAGAAATGGGCCTCGGGAGATGCCGAAGCAAAGACGCGGTCGTCTCAGAGCCCGTTTTAGCGATCCCGGACGACTCTCGGCCTTTCCGACTTGAAGCAGACAGCTCAGATTATGCGACGGGGGCGGTTCTTTCACAACAATCCGCCCCGGACAGGAAGTGGCACCGTGTAGCGTTCTATTCCAAAAGCTTAAATGATGTCCAGCGCAACTACGAGATTCACGACAAGGAGATGCTCGCGATCATCCGCGCATCCGGTCGAGATCTGGACTGACCATAAGAATTTGGAGTATTTCCGAAAGGCACAACATCTTAATCGTCGGCAAGCCCGATGGTCGTTGTACCTTTCTAGGTTTGACTTCACGCGGCACCACGTCCCAGGTCACCAGATGGGCCGCCCCGATGCTCTCTCCCGCCGGCCTGACCACGGCATCTCCGAAGACAACTCAGACGTCACCCTCTTGCGCCCCGAGCTTTTCCACGTTCGCGCGCTGGAGGCTGTCACTGTCTCTGGGCCTGGGTCCGAACTTGTCCGCGACATCAAGGAAGCGCTATCCGGTGAGCCTGACCTAGAGGAGCCCGTCGCACTTACGGCCCGGCAACTCTTGAAGGTCCGAGGTCAAGTTCGGGGCCCCCGCTCATCACGTTCGGACGAGTGGGCCGTCTCGGGCGATCTCTTGTACTTCCGCGGCAAGGTCGTAGTCCCCAAAGACAAGGACCTAAGGAGGTGCATCATCGAGCTCTGCCACGACACGCGGGTCGCCGGACACGCCGGTCGGTTCAAAACCCTAGAGCTGGTTTCGCGCAACTACTGGTGGCCACAGATGTCCCGCCATACCGGACGCTACGTCGCGACCTGCGACTTGTGCTGCCGCATGAAGGCCCTCCGAAGGCTCCCGCACAGAGAGCTACACCCGACCGAAGTCCCCCCCGAACGCTGGCACACCGTCACGGTGGACTTCATCGTCGAGCTCCCCGAGGCTCATGGTGTCATATCCGTGCATCCGTCATGTGCCGCGGCCCGCGGACCGGTCACGGTCCGCCGGGTTCCGGCCCGATCCAATCCGGTCGCTCCGGCGACCTTGTACTCTGTATGTCTTTCGCCTTGTTACTTATATTTCTGTATGTCCTTATGCTTGTTACTTTCCATATGCACTCCGTACCTTGTACTTACTTATGGTCTTCCCTTTCTACTTACTCGTAGTATTTAAGCAGCTAAAGTAGCTACGGTACTTTAGCTTGATTAGAAACGTTACTTGCACTCCTCTTCTGTGCGGAACGACTCCGACAACTCTCCTCTCTTCTCTTGTCCTTCAACCGGACTTCTCTCCGCTCGCGGACCTTGTCCGCTCCGACTCCACTCCGGTCCGGTTGGTCTTGTGTTCTTTCGTGTCAGGCAGCTACTGGCTTGTTAGCTATAGTAGAAACCCCTCTGTTCTGCACGGCACTTGACACATGGGTACGACACGGTCATGGTAGTCGGAGCCGTAGGTGGAGTTTTTTGACAAGTGTAGCTAGCTATTGCTAGTTAACAACTTGTCAAATCTGGTAGCTTTGCTCATAGGCTGAAAGTGTCACTTTTGTAAATATATTTTCAATACTCTATTTAATTACTGTTGACCTTATTAGGTAGCTTATTATGATGTAATTGATGGTAGTGAGGCAAAGTCATCCATGTGGAACGATTTTTGATTGGCATCAATGATTTCAATCACTACATCAAGTTACATCATTTTAGTCCTAATTGGGTTTTAGCCTTATTCACTATATACCGGGTCATCGGCCTGAAGAAAAGGAGTTAAAAGTACCATATATGGTGCCTATTAGTCATATTATTAATATAAATATTCAATTAAGTCATTATTTCAAAATTAAGTGCCAGCATTTGTCAAATGTCACTAACTATTGCTAGCCTGCTTATAGCTGGCCTTTTTGACAAGTTTTCTGCTAGCTTTAGCTAGACATTTGTCAAATTGCCCCCTCTACGGGTGGTAGTTGTCGACGCTCTTGGCAAACGCGCTCACTTCACTGAGTGCCATATGACAATAGACGCAGTCGGAGCCGCCCGGTTGTACTATCGGAATGTCTGGAGGCACCACGGAACCCCCGAGAAGTACATTTCGGACCGTGGCTCGCAGTTCATCGCTGACTTCACGCGCGAACTCTGGCGCTTAATTGGCGTCAAACCGGCTACCTCTACGGCTTACCACCCACAAACCGACGGACAAACCGAACGCGTTAACCAAGAGCTCGAGCAGTACATCCGGATCTTCACCAACTACCAACAAGACGACTGGGACGAGCTTATCCCTGCTGCTGAGTTCGCCTATAACAACCATGTTCACTCCTCCACTCAACAGGTACCCTTTATGACGGACACTGGTCGGCTCCCCCGAATGGGTTTCGAGCCAGGCGCCCGCTCAGAGTTGGAGTCGGTGAACGAGTTTCGCGATCGGATAGCTAACGGCGTCTCCGAGGCAAAGGCCGCGCTCGTTAAAGCCAAAGACGAGTATAAACGGTACTATGATCGGAAACGTTCGGACGCTCCGAATATTCGAGTTGGTGATAAGGTTTGGCTGGACGCTTCTGACATCAGAACGACTTGGCCCTCCGAGAAGTTTTCCCACAAGCGCCTCGGACCGTTCAAGGTGCTCGCAGAGGTTAGCAAAGGTGCCTACAAGCTCGACCTCCCCCCACGTTACTCCAAGCTCCACCCCGTCTTCCCCGTTGTTAAGCTCGAGCCCGCTCAGGACGACCCCTTCGATGGACGACCCGGCTACGACGAACCGCCCCCCGAGCTAGAGGACGGGGTCCCCGAATGGGCACCCGTAGCTGTGCACATTTGTCAAATGTCCCTGCCCGTGCAGGCAGCGCTCCACCGCAGGCAGACCATTTGTCAAATTCGCCTGCCCGTGCAGGGATGGGCTCTGCAGGGACATTTGACAACTGTCCCCCCGCCAAATAGCCTGCCCTATTGCGGGCCAGGCTTGTGACCCTCGAGTGACCCGTGAGCGTTCACCAATGCCATCGCCGATAGTTCCAAGCCATCAATATTCCACCGACCCATCATCGCATCATTCTGCGCCACCTCACATATCAGATGGTGGAAATTTGATCCAAATTCTCTATTATCTAACATCGCCGATTACCCGCCTTATCTATCTATCTAGCTCCGGTTACGTCCGCACCCACATCTTCCCAATCCGCTTCCTCCTCGGCGTCATGCTCCCGCCCCTCATCCAGCACCGTTCGCACGCCCTCCGCTGCCGATGCGCTCCATCGAGCTTGGAATTTGGCGGAAATCCGCCCATATACGGTTGCTTGGCGACGCGCATAGGCCTTCAGCCCTTCGTCTAGTGCTACATCGACCTCTGGCCGGCCATCGACCCTTCCGCGCCATTCCTCCTGTATTGCGTTCAGGCTCTGCAACACCCTCCGCATTTCCTCCCTTAGCAACCTGACCTCCTCTGTCCAGCGGTCACGCCGAGCTCACGCCTTTGTCCATTGCACACGTAGAGCTATATAAAAGTCAGTCAACGATGGTGATTTCCACCAGAAGCTCACTCACAATCATGTAGACCTTGCGGCCCAGAGCCCCTCCAAATCCAGGACACAGGAATCGGTCGTTCTGGTATTGCTGGCTCATTTCTGAGACGTCGATTGGTTCCCGCTCGGCCTAAAGCTGCTCTTGCTGCCGCATCGCTTTCCACCTCGCCCATTACCCGTATATCCTCATCCTTCAGCGTCTGGAACTCCGGGGCAAAACCCTCCTCCAAACGCTGACCAGCCTCGTATGCTGTCCTATACTTTATCGTTTCCCGCTTCACATGTCCGTTAATCCGAGTTATGACCGTATTGGACCGGGTTGATGCTCGTTGCCCCACAGCATTAGCGTTTCGGTAATCGATTATGTGCATCTTGCTCTGTAGATGGCCGCGCAGGTTGTCCAACGCGTCTGCGCATTGTCCCTGCCGCAGTTTCGATTCCGTCTCCGCCAGTCCTGTCCGACAAGCCAGCCGCCGTTCTTCTGCAGTAAGATCCGACGGTAACCACAGTTTTATTTCTTCGGCCAGTGGAGGTGGCGCCTCAGGATTCCTTTTCTCCTCCTCCTTCAGGCGTAAGGCGCCAACCCCCGGCATGAATACCCGTTGATGTGTTTCCCAGCTATGAAGCTTCTTGTAGAACGACGCTCGTTGTTCGTCAATCTGACTTGAGCGCTCAGCAGTCAAGTTGGTTGCTTCCTTGACCTCGGCAGTGATGCGTCGCCTGCGATAAATCGTTAGTAATTTTCCCGCCTGCCATTTGCATGTTACCCACTGCATATCCTCCAGCTGCAAGGCCGCCTTGATGAATGCGGCAGCAGTCATGTCTCCGAGCATCGCAGCCTGACGTCCCCCCTCGCAGGTCTTCCAGCTCGGCGCGCTTCAAATCGGCAAGTATTTGTGCCTCCGACCGACCTGTTTCTCCTTGGTTAGTTACCATCTAACAGTTATATCGATTGCATACCTTGATTACCATCGAGGACATAAGGATTTGGAGCAGATGGGTCGGCATTCCAACGATCCAGTCTTCCTTGCCAATCCGTCCGCATTGCCGGGGTCAGGCTGACATCGACCTCTTTGAATTGCTCCCTTTGCCTGTCACGTTCCGCCATTGCGATGATCATCTTCCTCGCCAACGTGTCCCCTGGCTCTAGGTCAGTTTCCGTCCGTGACAAATAACTGGATTATAGACATACCCTCCTTCACGTTCTTCTCAAAGTTCAAATAGTCGACCTTTTCTTCGATCACATCATGTCGGCTCCCCTCCCCCATCTCCTTCGTCAAATATCCGATTGGGTTCAAAAGAGCCCACGTTCTCTCGATGCCTTCCCCATCGGTACGCCCAACGCCAACGGCATGGCTCAAAGAATTTGCCGCCTGGCAGCTTGTTTCGTGCGCTGCTGCGTGCCAAACGGGGAGTGCAAATTGGATGTCGTAGTTATCGAGGTCGGTGCCGATGGCCTTCGACCCAGCCAAGGGAACGGGGCCTTGTTCGCTGCTGCTACTCCATCCGTGGTCAATGGCCCATTCTTTGACCCGCTCTTCCTCGCCCTTCACCAAAACCTTGGCCCGCAGTTTCAAACGCTGCTTCCACTGACAAGCGATGTCGTAGGATAACACCAATCGCCGTACGGTGGTCCAGCGCAAAGCCGATAGCACTACCCAATCCATATTGGCATAACTGAATGAATATAAATTAGTACCACTTCCCCCCCAAAAAACTGAGTCAAGACTTGCCGTTCTCCCTTCTGGAGATCCCCCAAACCAAGCGGTCGCACTACTCCATGTCGCGCGCAAACACACTCGCCGACTCCGGATACGCGTAGCCCAGTTGTAAGTTTTGTCTCTTTTTGCATGAGGGCTTGGAAGGCAATACACGTGCTCGTCTGAGACGAGACAGTTAATATAAGTCTGTTTCTCGAGAGTGACGCCACGTACATCCTCTTCAGCCACGTAGTTACGCAGATGATGCTTGTAGGGCTCGTTGAGAACGAAATAGCCCTGGCCCGCACATAGCGATGGGTCATCACGCTCGTTAGACTGAATGCGGTTTTTGAGCCTAAAGTTGGTGTCGATGGTGAGCATTAATGCATAGAGGAATCTGCTCTTAGTTAGCCCATTTGCGTATGAGATGAGATACTAGTACTCACGAGTCGCTCTGGGGAGCCTCTTGCCACCCCTCCGGTAGATTACATTCGGGATCTGGACAAGCCCAGCATTGTACAGCCAAACCCCCAGCTCCAGTCGTTTGAAGACCATTAGGACAATGTCCCCGGCCAGCGCGTTTAGCTCTGATGAGATAGTCGTATTGTCTTGACATTCGAAGAAAAGATTTATAGCGGTCCTTCACCATACGTGTCAGTGGCGCCTCTTCACGCAAAAAAGAAAGGAACCTACGGGCATTTTTCTCGTCAAGGTCGCATTACTCAATCGCTCCAGGCTGCGAAGAAGGTCGTGGGCGGTGACATTCCCCACAACCTTCAGCAGTCGGAACATGTCGAGCAGTTCGAATGTTGCACATGTCGATGGACTCGAAATTGTCGCAGGATACCACGCATTATCGAGCAGCTGTGATATGTGGCCGTGTCGATGGCGAAGACTCTCAGAGCATCCACAAAAACTTCATGACATTCAGCGGACGACGCTTTGACCTTCATTGTGGGCAGGCTTACCGGCAATCTAACTTGGTGATTCCCCCGACATCTAAAATGACCAGGGTTCGCACCATGGGCTCCGGCGCCGCGCAAGGAAAACCGTAATGTCCGAGTTGGTAGCACATTCCCAGGCGCACATCCGCGTTTGGGTCGTCGTACAGAGAACATGTTGTCCAAAATAGGCCATTCCACATCTGGCTCGTCGTTAGCTTAGACAGCCTCAAAACGCATGCCGGAAATCTCACCTGTGGACGATGTAGAGGGAGTTGTTCGTGGCGCCGTTTGAGACAGTCTTCGCATTGCAAAAACTGGCCACAGTGAGGGCACTTGAAAAAGCGGATGGCTTCTTGTCCGCACTGGGCGCAGGTAGGTATGTGGAAGCCCCCACCCAGACCTTCAGCTCGAAGTAACTCGTCCAGAAACTTCGCCTTGTGTTTCCGCCATACGGCCATTGGGTTGTCCTGACCCCAAGCAACTCAGCGGTGAGCATTTTCAGGCTGAATCATAACTTACCGAGCTCAGATACCATTTCCTTATGGGCGGGATCTCCACCATGACTTCGTCTGCCAAAGAAGCAGACTGCGCCCATCCCTCCTCGGTAAACGGTGTCCAGGACCCAAGAGCATCGTTAACTCCAAGGCGAGGACGTTTCGCAGGCTGGACGTTGACGAGCCTCCCGACAGCCTCGCCATTGGCGCGGAAATGAGTCCCATGGTCACCGTGTCTCCCCGTCCGATGTAGAGCCCCCACTCGGAAGGTATTCTTCTGCTTCTTCTTGCTTTTCTGCGAAGACATGATTAGCTCGTGGTGGAAACAACGATAACCACTCACCTGCAAGAGTGAGGCGATAAAAAAGGAGGACGTTGTCAGGGAGGAGTGCCAAGCGGACACGTGTGATATTGACGTGATCCACCGGACATCAAACCCCGACGCATCGGACGATCGGTCCGCTTTCAAGTACTCCAGTTCTGAGTGCAGCGTTTGTTTGTCTTTTAGTTATTCCTCGTGCGCCTCGTGCGCCTGCCTGAAAGCGCGAGGACAGAGAATACTGGCCCTGTCTGCCCATCACAGCGCAGTTCACCGTCGGGATTCGCTTCGTTATGACAAATTGCAAAATATTTACCAAAGCTGGTTTCCTAGCATCATTGCGCCATATGGTGGCGCATTGACGGTGGGTAATCAGTAATAACTAGACCCGTGGAGCTTGTCTCAGCTGGAACAACAGAGCGGTTTTGTGGCTGCGACAAAAAAAGGGTTTTTTTGGGGGGGGGGCCTGATGGGCAGGGCAGTAGTAGGCTACGATTGTATCTACTCTACAGTTTGGAACGGCTGAGCGTCCGCGATTTCTCAGCGTGTCGAATGATCAGACAGTGAGCTGCATTTTCAGACCACCTTCAAGCTTACCCAGCGCTCGACTGCCTCCCCATCGATCTTCAATTGGCGAGCCGGTGCCTCATTAGGAGCTGTTGTCAGGGGAACCCCCGCTTCGGCCTCCTTCGGACCCTCCGAACGCATCCGAGGCGCATCCGACCGGCGCCCCCCTCGGACGCTCCGACCCACCCCGACCATCGTCCACGGCCTCCTTCGCCCGCACAATCACCGATCCGTCAAGACCCTCCCAACGATCACCTTGGGACAGAGCCTGCGACGCCGCTCAGGCCTTCTGCACTCTACGTCGGCAGTTACGGACGACCAGTATATAGTTGGCGCCCTAGCAGGCGGACCCTTAGAGTTTCTTCTCTTTGGATCCTCCCCTGCTAGGTCGGTCCCTCCGTGTATTTCCTGCAGTCTTATTCACTCTTTGGATCCTCCCCTGCTAGGCTTTCGTCGGAGTCTCCAGGGTTGCCCTTACAGCAGAAGAAACTCTCTACGGGATTAACCGGTCAAGATTGCCAGGTTTGGCGCTGATTCAGGCTCGGAGTACGAGTCCGTACCCCCCCTCGTCACCGCCCTTGCCACTTGACCCCTCCTCCTCTGCTCTTGTCGTCTTTACGCCCGCTATGTCCACCGGAGCTGCTCCGGACGCTGACGCCGCGCATGGACGCACTTGAAGGCGAAACTAGACAACCTCACCAATATCCTCACCCACCTTGCTTCCCAGGCTTCCGCTGCCGCACCACCTTCGGCAGCTCCCGAACGCCGCCGGCATCTCCGAATGCCCCCGACGTGGATGCGTTATTTGGTGATATTACTGTCGCCTCAAAACTGGTCTTACGACCAAACCCTCCGTTTGCATTTAACGGGAGATCGAAAACGGGCCGCGCCTTCCTATACGCGGTCAAGACTTACTCGGCTTGCCCCGGAGGCCTTCGTGGTCAACGGAGAGCCGAGCGAAGAAAAGGCCGTCCGCTACGCCATGTCCTATATGGCGGAGGGACCTGCTCAGCAGTGGGCAGAGTGTCATGGGAGCAAAACCCCCTTCCCCTTCCCTCGGTGGAACCTATTCCTCTCCGAGTTTCGCCTTCGGTTCGTTGAGGAGAACGAGCAGGACCTTGCGCTTGCCAAGTTGGAGAGCGGGGTTATCACATGGGAACGCGGGATGTCTACGGATACACCGACGACTTCGAGGACCTAATGGACCTCGCCGGATTCGAAGACGCGTTGGTTAAGGTGACCAAGTACCGCCACGGACTTGACCCCCTGATCAACAACGGCATCACGTCTTGAACGACCCCCCAGACCTCCGTGACTATCTGGGCTGGCGCACTCGGGCTTTCCGCCAATACGAAGCCTTGGTGCGGGCGAAGCTCATCAAAGGGACCACCCCGCGGACGCCCCGGGGGCTCCGCGTGGCGCATTCCCTATCGCCCGTTCGGCAACTCCGTTTCCCATCCGCCCGGTGGCCGCACCTGCGCCACCCGGCCCGCGCCCCGTCCCGGTACCTCCGGCTCCCGTCCCTATGGAGTTGGATCGTACTAGGGCTCGGGGCGCCCCTCGTCGAGCCTGCTTCAGATGCGGCGACCCCAATCACTTGGCTCGGGACTGTCCGCTCCCCCGCCGATGTTCGCCATATGGACATCCTCGACGAGGTGATCCAGCAACTTGGCGATGAGATGCTGGGAGAGCTACTTGCGCGGTTGTCCGACACCGCGGCCTTAGCAGAGGCGCATTCGGAGGCTCCGGCAGAGGATTTTGTCCCCCGCGACGAGTGACTGGTGTGCCCTCGTTCGCGTCCATAAATCGTTTCACTTGTTTGTATGATGAATCAACTCCCTTGCCTTACAACGAGCCTGAAACGAAAGACGCACCCCCTGCCCCCTCCGAAGCCCCCGTTCGGATTCGCTGACTTGCCTGGGAGAAAAAGCTACCTGGCAGCTATACCATCTCTGCCGCTCCTGGGGTTAACTCGCTCCACCTTCCTCTTGAGCTTGAGTCCACTGCGAACGCGCTCAAGCTCTCCCTCTCGGGTCTGGTCGACTGCGGAGCCACTTCGGACTTTATCGACACAGAATACGTCAACCGAAACAACGTGCCAGTCCAAAATCTCTCAGTACCCATACCGGTCTACAATGTCGACGGCACCCCCAATGATGCTGGGTCTATTCGTCAAATCGCGGACCTGGTCCTACGATACAACGGACACTCCGAACGCGTTCAGCTGGCTGTAACCCACCTTGGGAAACAGGACTTGATACTCGGGTACTCCTGGCTCAAAAAGCATAACCCCGAGATCAACTGGGAAACAAAGGAGGTGAAAATGAGCCGCTGCCCCGAGCTGCTCCACCTGCCGCGACGAGGAACGGACCGAGCGCTGAGGTTCGCCGCCTCCGACTCCTTAAATCGCGCTTGCTTGCGGGCGCTTTCCCCACCGTTTGCGCTATCGATATCGCTGGCCCAGACGATGTCGACGACGAACTCGGAGCTCCTTCGGACCCTCCGGAGCGCTCACCAGACCTTGACGACGACGAGCATCTTGAAGATGGCGACCGCATCTTCTACACCTCCTTTCGCCCAATCGAGGAGATTCGCGCTGGGAGCACCGTGTCCCAACGCCTTGCAGAGGCCTTCGCCCGTAACTCGGCCCCCCCGCCTTCGGAGATTCCGGACTGGGCCAAGGAGTTCCAAGACGTCTTTGACAAGGAGTCCTTCGACACGTTACCAGAGCGGAGGGCTTGGGACCACGCTATCGAACTCGTTCCTGACGCGAAGCCCGCTAATTGCAAGGTGTATCCGATCTCCCCCTTGAACAGGCGAACTTGACGAGTTCATCGAGGAGGGACTTGCCACAGGCCGTATCCGCCCTTCGAAATCTCCGATGGCTTCCCCCGTCTTCTTCGTTAAGAAAAAGGACGGAGGACTTCGGTTTGTCCAGGACTACCGCGCCCTCAACGCAATGACGATTAAGAACCGGTACCCCCTCCCGTTGATTAATGACCTTATCAACAGGCTTAAGGGCGCCCGTTACTTCACCAAACTCGACGTTCGCTGGGGCTTTAATAACGTCCGGATTAAAGAAGGAGACGAGTGGAAGGCGGCCTTTCGGACCAACCGAGGGTTGTTCGAACCTTTGGTGATGTATTTTGGCCTGACGAACTCCCCCGACTTTCCAAATGATGATGAATGACATTTTCCAGGATCTCATTCTCTCAGGAGACGTCATGATCTACCTCGACGATATCCTTATCGCGCATTCGGACCTCCGTAAGCACCGCGAGATCATCCCGGAAGTCCCCTGGCGACTCCGAATGCACAAGCTGTACCTTCGCAAGGAGAAGTGCGACTTCGAGAAATCGTCAATCGAGTACCTGGGGGTTATGATCTCTCACAACCACGTCGAAATGGATCCCGTTAAGGTTGCCGGAGTCTCCGCATGGCCTCCGCCCGAGAACAAGAAGGACGTCCAGCAGTTCCTGGGGTTTGCTAATTTCTACCGCAGGTTCATTCGGGATTTCTCGGCCCTAGCGCAACCCCTCTTCGCTCACCAAGAAAGACCAGAAATGGGCCTGGGGAGACGCCGGCCGCCGCCTTTCAAGCTATCAAAGACGCGGTCGTCTCAGAGCCCGTCTTAGCGATCCCGGACGACTCCCGGCCTTTCCGACTTGAAGCAGACAGCTCAGATTATGCGACGGGGCGGTTCTTTCACAACAATCCGCCCCGGACGGGAAGTGGCACCCTGTAGCGTTCTATTCCAAAAGCTTAAATGATGTCCAGCGCAACTACGAGATTCACGACAAGGAGATGCTCGCGATCATCCGCGCATCCGGTCGAGATCTGGACTGACCATAAGAATTTGGAGTATTTCCGAAAGGCACAACATCTTAATCGTCAGCAAGCCCGTAGAAACCCCTCTGTTCTGCACGGCACTTGACACATGGGTACGACACGGTCATGGTAGTGGTCGACGCCCTCGGAAAGCGCGCCCACTTCACTGAGTGCCATACGACAATAGACGCGGTCGGAGCTGCCCGCTTGTACTATCGGAACGTCTGGAGGCACCACGGAACCCCGAGAAGTACATTTCGGACCGTGGCTCGCAGTTCATCGCTGACTTCACGCGCGAACTCTGGCGCTTAATTGGCGTCAAACCGGCTACCTCCACGGCTTACCACCCGCAAACCGACGGACAAACCGAGCGCGTTAACCAAGAGCTCGAGCAGTACATCCGGATCTTCACCAACTACCAACAAGACGACTGGGACGAGCTTATCCCTGCCGCTGAGTTCGCCTATAACAACCACGTTCACTCCTCCACTCAACAGGTACCCTTTATGACTGACACTGGTCGGCTCCCCCGAATGGGTTTCGAGCCAGGCGCCCGCTCAGAGTTGGAGTCGGTGAACGAGTTTCGCGATCGG